TTCGAAGGTCAGCACATAAGGTGAAAGCTGTTAGTCAGTTTCCCTTGAAAATGTCCTAGGAAGACTCCACAATGGAGGCCAGCAGGTCCTGAGTCCGACAGAATGCCAGCCCGGTGCAGCTAGATTTCCTGTCTTCCGCACCAGTGAAGTCATTGGCAGGAGCCATCCTTTTATTATTTTTAAATATATTTTATTGATTTTTTACAGAGAGGAAAGGAGAGAGCTAGAGAGCTAGAAACATCGATGAGAGAGAAACATCGACCAGCTGCCTCCTGCACACCCCCTACCAGGGATGTGCCGGCAACCAATGTACATGCCCTTGACCGGAATCGAACCCGGGACCCTTCAGTCTGTAGACCGACGCTCTACCACTGAGCCAAACCGGTTTCTGCCTTTTATTATTTTTAATGTTAGCTACACTTGGTTGGTAGTGAGTTGCACACCCTGAGAGAGTCACACAGGAACTGTCCGGGGAAAGCAGATTTATCCCCTCGCACACGCCAAGGAATAGGTTCTTAGAGAGGAATCCCCAAACTGATCAGTCCAGTCCTCACACATTTATATTCTCTCTTTTTTTTTTTTTTTTAAATATATTTTATTGATTTTTCACAGAGAGGAAGAGAGAGGGATAGAGAGTCAGAAACATCGATGAGAGAGAATCATCGATAAGCTGCCTCTTGCACACCCCCTACTGGGGATGTGCCCGCAACCAAGGTACATGCCCTTGACCGGAATCAAACCCGGGACCTCTTAGTCCGCAGGCCAACGCTCTATCTACCCATTGAGCCAAACCGGTCCCGGCTCTCTCTTTCTCTCTCTCTCTCTCTCTCTCTCCCCCCCCCCCCTCTCAGCTAAATATAGAATTGGGTAAGCTTGGTGTGCGGTGTGTGTAGTGCTGCTCCATTGGGTCTTATTAGAACACTTAGACCATTTAGGGATGTGAAGCTGCTTTAAAATTAATGAAGGAGAAGCTGCACCCGGCATTCTAACCTCTTTAAACAGGCTGGCTGCACCAACAGAAGAGTGAAAATGGGACCTTTACTATTTAAATGAAAAGTTTTAAGTAAAGACCGTGCTGCTGTTTTCTGTGTGTGAAAAAGCTTGTATTGGCTTTTTGGATGCCACAAGTTCTATTTGGGGAAAGGCGGGGAATAGAAAGGAACTCAGTAGATTTCTGTGGTAGCATAACCAATTACCACAGCATTTCTCTGTTCTCTCCCAGAAGTCAGCTGGGCCCGCTGGGCTCAGCTCAGGCTCTCGCAGGCTGAGCCCGGGACCCGTCCAGGTTCTCACCTGAGGCGAGGGCTCTGCCAGGTGTTGGCAGCTCCTCAGGCTGGTGGCAGCGTCCAGTTTGTTGCCGATGTGGAACTCATGGCACATGTTTTCTTTCTTTCAAGTCCAAGGCCAGCAGGAGTGTCTGCTGTTGCATCTTGTTTCCCTCATGGGCTCACCTAATGAGGTCAGGCCCACACTGGGTAGTCGTAATGGCTGACTCAGAGTCACTCACTGGGACCTTCATCCCACCTGCCATCCCACTTACAAGAAACGTGGGAGTCAGTATCCCTTCGCTGTCACTGTCCTGCCCACACTCCAGGGGAGGGCATTAGATAGGTCTTGTCAGCCAGGGGGCGGAAATCGTGGGAGCCATCTTGGATTCCTGCCTAAAACATAAATAATATTACTGAGTATCTCCTGAAGTGCCAGACACTGTCCAATTAATTCCCACCTTTGCATAAAAATGGCATTTTCCAAGTTTGACTCATAGGGAACTAAAGCTCGGGGAAATGAATAATGTGTGTAACTAGCGAAGAGTATGATCAGGATGCTGACTTAGATCTGCTGGCCTCCAAAGCCCTGCTCTCTCCATTTTGTTACACGATCTCTGCTCAACCCTGTCACTTCTCCCTCCTTTCCAATGTGTTTGCTCTCCTCCAACCTCACGGTCCCTGGCACTATTAGAAGAGCTCTCCACTTATATGTTTTATTCAAGGTCAAATAATTAGTCTAAGGGAAAGATGGTGGGCCTTTAAGCTCTAATGTGTTTTCTACTGTTTTGTGCTGCTTTATCTGCCTTAGAATGTGAGCTCATCCTCTTAAGTACTCACCCCACCCAGTGCAGGTACCCAATGAATGCTAGTTTATTCTCTACATAACTGAATAAAGTCCTTTATAAGAGGTTCAAGAGGAACCCTTTCTTTATAAGTGGATTTGGAGCTAATATGTTGGCCAGGAGTTGTGTTTAATTTTGTCAAGTTTTAATTTTATGTTCTAGCTTTAGATGGCCTGGGGGAATAGGGAGCATGAAAACTTCTACAGTATTATATCATGTTTGAGAAAATATTGCTAAAACTCCATGCTTGTTTAATAATATGACCAAATGAGCTATGAACTCTCTCAAGCACATATTCTTTCTATTGTCAATATTTAATAGTGAGATTGATTCTACGGTTGAGAAAGATGTGTCTAAGTATAGACTTCCAAAGATTCTTTCATCATGTACTCCAGTAATTGGTAGGCCTATGGCTAAGCTATTTAAAATTATTAGTTTAAAACTTTTTAAAAATATATATATATTTTATCGAGTTTTTACAGAGAAGAAGGGAGAGGGATAGAGAGCTAGAAACATCTATGAGAGAGAAACACCGACCAGCCGCCTCCTGCACACCCCCCACAGGGGATGTGGCTGCAACCAAAGTACATGCCCTTGACTGGAATCGATCCTGGGACCCCTCAGTCTGTCCACTGAGCCAAACCGGTTTGGCAGTTTAAAACTTTTGAAGCTGAATTTGTAACAAACATGTCACAATTTTCATATCCAAAGAAGTGCTGTCTCATTGAAAGCACTTTGGGAGCTATCAGGAAAGCTTCTGTTTCTCAGAATGGTTTCAGAATTGCTTTTGTTCATTATTTTTTAATTTTTCAGTTACTTGACATACAGTATTATATTAGTTATATTAGTTTATGTTTGATTAGATGTTTATTTAACTTATGAAATGATCCCCTGGATAAGTCTAGGACCCACCTGACACCTTACGTAGTTGCTACAGTATGATTCACTCTATGCTGTATGTATTTTATATTCCGTGATTTTTTATAACTAGCAATTTGTGCTTCTTAGTCCCTTCCCATTTTTCACCTATCCTCCAATCCCTCCCATTTGTCACCCATTGAAAATTAGAATTCCTTTTGGAATTAAAGTCATAGCCATCACATAAGCTTTTTATTGTCATCAGTCTCTGCCAGTCTTTGGCCTTTGAGGATAATTATTTTATGAAACAGCATTAAGAACTAAGGTGAATAAAGTGTACAGTAAGGTTAAAACAATACGCAACTCTAAAGTAAAAAAATGGGACCGTGTTGTTTGTTGGTTTGTTTTTGTCATAAAATCTGACACTTAAAGGAAACAAAAGTTCCCAGTAACTTTTAAAGCACCAAACGTTCGTTGTAATAACTGTAGGACCAGGAAGGACTGTGTTGGGAGCAGATGGAGGACTGATCCACATACCTCGATGCTTACAGACGAAGTTTTAAAGGAAAGCATGCTAAACACTCTCAGTTTATTGGATAAAGATTATAAAAAGATAGTTTTTTTCTTTTTAAATAGTAACTACTCTGTAAGGAGACAACTTTCTTTCATTGGCCCATAATGCATAGCCCAGGCTACCTATGTGGTACTCATTCTGGTGTTGTCACTTCAGTTGTCATAACTATTAGCAAATCACTACTTTCTGAGTTTCCCTTTTCTTGTCCTCAAATGAAAGGTTTAGACAGGTGCTACCTAATGAATCTTTTTAGGTAGGAAAACAACTTTTTCCCCCGCTCGGTTTGTGAATAGTTGTAAAATGGAATGCATAGTGGTATATCATCTTTAATTTTATTTTATTTTTAATATATTTTATTGATTTTTTACAGAGAGAAAGGGAGAGGGATAAAGAGTTAGAAACATTGATGGGAGAGAAACATTGACCAGCTGCCTCTTGCACATCTCCTACTGGGGATGTACCCGCAACCAAGGTACATGCCCTTGACCGGAATCGAACCTGGGACCTTTCAGTCCGCAGGCTAATGCTCTACCCACTGAGCCAAACCAGTTAGGGCTCACCTTTTATTTTAAATATCTCTCATTGAATTAGCTATTTCTCAAAAACCATGCTTTGCTCTTGGAATTGTCATAATACAGTGAAGAGCAAACATACTTCAAGTAGTGGAAAGTAGTTGGAATGAAAGAGGTTCATCCTACATTGACCAACAAAGAATTCTATTGGTACCCAACCAGTTTGGCTCAGTGGATAGAGCGTAGGCCTGTGGACTGAAGGGTCCCAGGTTCGATTCTGGTCAAGGGCATGTACCTTGGTTGTGGGCACATCCCCAGTGGGAGGTGTGCAGGAGGCAGCTGATAGATGTTTCTTTCTCATTGATGTTTCTAACTATTCCTCTCTGTAACAAATTAATAAAATATATATTTAAAAAGAAAAGGATTCTCTTATTTACTTAACCTCACCTGAACCACAAGAATGTGAACAGTGAAATAATGGTAGACTGACTACAAGTGACAGTAAAAGCAGGATCAGGAAAATTATAAGATTAGAAATCAAATGTAGAGGAACAAAAGAACATAGATTTGGCTCTTGGCTTTCACAGTTTAAAGGGAAATTATGTGGTGGTTATTTCAAAGATGAGAAAAGCGACATCCCAGGAGAGGTAAAGAATTTTCTCAGCACTCGGTTCTGAAAGAAACATAACGTGAGATTGTACACAGGAAGGCTGGGGGCTTTACAGGTAATTACTGTGCAGCTGCAGCGGTCTGAAACATCTAGAAAAGCATTAGCATGTGCTTTTACCTTCTAAGCAATACTGACAGTCATCTCCGGGTAATAAGAAGCAAGGCTTAAGTTAATGGTCCTCTTTGGGAAAGCTTTCCTGGATGGAAAAGGGTGTGAGATTCAGAGTTGCTCAACTTGTGTTCTGATCAACCCTGTTCTGCTCCCATGTGGCTCCAGCCAAAAAAGAAGAACATGTCGGCCTACCAGGTGTTCTGTAAGGAGTACCGCGTGACCATCGTGGCTGACCACCCCGGCATAGGTAAGGACACTTCTCACCTTCCTTCCCCTTCCCACGTGCGCCCGCAAGCAGTGCAGCTTATTCAGTCAGGAAGGAGCTTCTCCCCTAGTATTAAAGGAAGCCAGGTCTCATTTTTTCCCAGCAGATCTGCAAGTCACTCTAGATTTTGTCTTATGTTTACCCCAACCATAAAAGTGATAAGCTTTTTCAAAAAAAAATTATTGATTTTCTACAGAGAGGAAGGGAGATGGATAGAGAGTTAGAAACATTGATGAGAGAGAAACATCGATCAGCTGCCTCCTGCACACCTCCCACTGGGGATGTGCCTGCAACCAAGGAACATGCCCTTGACTGGAATCAAACCTGGGACCTTTCAGTTCACAGGCCGACGACGCTCTGTCCACTGAGCCAAACCGGTTAGGGCAGTGATAAGCTTTTTATTTATCTCTCTTAAGTTCATAAAATGGAAAACGGTAAAATTAAATATTATGAAGCTCAGTATATAAATATGCAACTGCTTATTTCCAAGATTCTACAGTTGACCTTTTCCTTAAACTGTCCCGGGTGTGCAGTAATGAGATGACTTACATTGTTCACATTTGTCTGTGTGTTAGAAGTTAGTGAGGTGAGAAAAACACTGCACCACAGACCTTGGACAAGGCACTTAACCTCCATAAATCTCATTTGCCTGAGATATAAAGAGTTTCCCGAATTTCTCATCACAGTATTGGGAGGCACGTGTGAAGGACCCTGCAGATAAGAATGCAGTGTGCAAAGCCTGACCCTGCTGTGCATGTGCAAGAGCAGCACACGCCTCTGGAGGATGCTTCTGAGCAGCCATAGGGAAATTTTTTGGTACCGAGTTCTCGGAAATTCAGTAAAAATCTAACATCTTTTCTTAAACTCTACAGCACATATTTTCTTTAACCTAAGTTAATAAGCCCTGAGTTGTGGGATCAAATTAAAAGACACCAGAAAGATGCTTAGGGAACAGATCCCTAGAGAGGAGATGTGAGAGGATTTGAATCTATCTCATGATCCCCAAAGGGGTCCCTTCCCTATAGAAAAGAATCAAGAAAACTGGTGGGTCCTAGCTGGTTTGGTTCAGTGGGTAGAGCAACAGCCTGCAGACTGAAGGGTCCCTGGTTTGATTCTGGTCAAGGGCACATGCCTAGGGGGGCATGTGGGAGGCAGCCGATCAATGATTCTTATCACTGATATTTCTCTCCCTCTCTGAAGTCAACAAAAAAAAAAAAAAAAAACTGAAAACTGGTGGGGTTTGGTTTCGGTTGGTTTAAGAATACTCTGCTATTTATAAAAAGTGATTTTCAAACACTTTTCTCAGTTTTTGCTCTCGTCAACCTTTTGTTTTGTTGATAGTTAAACCTTTATTTTATTGAGTTTTTTACTATTTTATGCCAGATTTTGGGGAACTTAGTAAAAAACTGGCTGAGGTGTGGAAGCAATTGCCAGAAAAGGATAAGCTGGTAAGTATACTTTCTTATAAACATATTTTTTAATCGGTTTATGCCTTCTAAAATGTGTGATTCTCCCATAGACCACCCAGTCAAAAAACACTGAAATAGTGAAACAATGACAGGTCAATGGAAAATGGTTTACTAGAGGGCAATGACTGGTTGGTGCCAGTTTACCCTGGGTAAAATTTAGCTGCATGGAGGCTGTTTTTTCTAAACTTTTCTAATTTTTTTTTTTTTAACAACAGTCTTATATTTGAACCAAAGGATGACCTAATTTGGGCATGCTTTAAGAAAGTGTTTTAAGAAAAAAATCCCTTAACTACTAGTCAGCCCAAGGTCTGAGAAGTGAGGAAAGGCATTCACTTAATAGTCACTGCAAATAATAAAGCCCTGGGACTATGTCTACTAGGGAGCCAGGTTCCAGACTATCCTCATCCGCTACCAGGTGATGTCCCCTACTGCGAAGAAGCTAATGAGACTGTGATAACTAGTCATGTCTGAGTCTTAGTCACTTTCCAGTAGGCTGATATGAAGGTGGTTTAGGAATTAGAATTGCCATCTTGCTTTAAGGTATAGCTCATCTGGGTAAAACAACCTAAATATTTCTGACCCAGGTAGTTTATCTTTAGTTTCTATTTTTCATTTCAATGTTTGAAATGAAATGTTAGCCTACTGTTGGTATTGCCAACTAGCAAGTTAGAAGAAATATTTTAACCACATGGACATAATACCGAGCCAGATGTTTACTCTATGATTTTACATTGCGGTCTTAGAGGTCTAAGATCAGTGCTGAGAGCTGACCGTCAGCCTGGAGGAATGTTTGCAGTGCTCTGAGTTCGGACAGCATTCAGTGTCTGTGCCTGCTCAGTGGCCCTCTGCTTGAGAGTTGGCATCAGCCCTCTGCACTGTCCCCTCTCGCTCTGTATTCTACTTTTCCGTGACTGCTTTCCATTTTATTTTTACTTTTTGATTGATTTTATTTTGCCGGATCTGATTGCAGATTTGGAAGCAAAAAGCTCAGTATCTGCAGCACAAACAAAACAAAGCAGAAGCTACAACTGTGAAAAGAAAAGCATCCAGCTCAGAAGGCTCCGTGAAAGTAAAAGGTAGTGGCCACATCCCTCCCCTGCTTTGCTTTTCCCCGGAGCACTGTAAATTCTGCTGCCTAGCTGAGAAATTGGGAGAGCAGCCTACTTTAGAAGCAGACCTTGATGCCCAGGTATTATTACTAAACATTATATGTTGAAAAGGCATTTAGAAAATATAAATCAGAAGTCGGCAAACTTCTTTGGTAAAGGGCCAGAGAGTAAATACTTGAAGCCTTGCAGTCCCAAGTGCTTTTTGTGTGACATATTCTTTGTTTTATCTACAACCATTTAAAAATGTAAAAATTAGCCGAAACTGGTTTGGCTCAGTGGATAGAGCGTCAGCCTGTGGACTGAAGGGTTCCGGGTTCGATTCCGGTCAAGGACATGTACCTTGGTTGCAGGCACTTCCCCAGTGGGGGGTGTGCAGGAAGCAGCTGATCGATGTCTCTCTCTCATCGACATTTCTAACTATCTCCCTTTCTCTCTGTAAAAAATCAGTAAAATATTTTTTTTAATTTAAAAATAAAATAAAAAATAAAAATGTAAAAATTCTTCTTACAAAAACAGGTCATGTGCCAGATTTGGCCCATAGTCCAAATCTGTGGCTAATACCTGAGATAGCTCCCAAACAGGGGAAATCAGGAAGGGCATTTGTGTGGTGTTCAAGGCCATAGGAAGCGTGGTCTCTCTATTTCGTCTCTGTCCTCAGCTTCCTCGGCAGGAGTGCTGTCACCCCAAAAGAAGTCCCCGCCCACCACCATGCTGTTGCCAGCCTCCCCGGCCAAAGCCCCTGAGACGGAGCCCATTGATGTCGCTGCCCATCTACAGCTGCTGGGGGAGTCCCTCAGCCTCATCGGACACCGCCTGCAGGAAACGGAGGTGAGCATAGCCGTCCGCAGCATGACTCCAGGGTCGGATAGAATTTGAGTCCACCCATTCATCCCACATATATGCACTGAGCAGCTGCTGTATGCTGTGTTATGCCAGGTGTTTAGGATGCAGTGATAAAGAAGACTTACAGTCATAGAAACATCTGGAGATTTGGAATTAAAGTGTACACTAATGCCATCCTATTGAAGCAGCGGCACAAAAAGAAATTCGAATACCCTGTATTTTCCCCCCAGCTTTATTAAGATACAATTGACATATAACCCTGTGACTTATTATTTTTTAAATGCAGTGGGAAAACTGAGTGCAAATCCCATGGAAGTTTTGATCACATGTAGTTCTAAGACAGTTTGAGTTTTCCTGCACATTTCCAGCAAGGTCTTTAACAGACGGATTAGGTTGTATGGAGAACTAAGAGTTCCTCTACTTTTTTGAGAGTAGGTAGCAAATAGGAAATTGAGTTCTCAAGCTCTTCATTACTCTGCACTGAAGTTGAATTACACAGTGCAGTGTGCCCTCCGGAGATCTTGGTCCTTTTCAATTTCAAAATCACTTATCCTGCAAAGTTGTCATATTCCATTTCTATAACCATATTCCATATCTAATTGTACTGCCTTCTTGGCTAATTCAGTAGCATAGTATTTCAGTTTTCCCACTGGGTTCTACTAGGACATTTCAGCAAAGAAATCAGTCTCAGCTACTAAAGCCATTGTAAGCTAAAAATCAGTGTAGGAATATAAAACCATCAATTTGCTTCTATGTGGAAGTTGAATTATTACTCAACAAAAAAGTGCCAGTGGCCAAAACCGGTTTGGCTCAGTGGATAGAGCATCGGTTTGCGGACTGAAGGGTCCCAGGTTCAATTCCGGTCAAGGGCATGTACATTGGTTGCGGGCACATTCCCGGTGGGGGTGTGCAGAAGGCAGCTGGTTGATGTTTCTTTCTTGTCAACGTTTCTAGCTTTCTATTCCTCTCCCTTCCTCTCTGTGGATAATCAATAAAATATATTTAAAAAAAAAAAATGCCAATAGCCACAAGAGATGACATTGTATCTAAGTTCTTTGACTAGTTTCAAAAATTTAGCATTTGTAACAAGTTAGTAGTTAGAACAGTAGTCTACTTTAGATGTGTAGATACGGCAGAACGGCTAGAGTTCTTTCATGCAGGCTGATGTCCAAATGGTTATAGTTACTTCCAGAATAAAATAGTCTGAAATCCTTGATTATTTTTCATATTTAGACAGTGTATATTTTCTAAAAAGTTAGAATATAAAATGATATCCATATTCCAGATTTTTCTTCATGTTTCCATTTAATTGAACACGTATTTGTTGAGGATAAGGCATTACTCCAAAACCTTGGGAGAGTAGAAAATCTGAATAGTTCCTTATCATTCCTACCATCAGGAAACTTCCAGTTTAATTGGAAAGAGAGAATGTAAATTAGCAAATTCTAAGAAGCCAGCTGCTGTGCGCAGTTGCCAAGTTACACACACAGCGTGACCAAAAAGGGAAAGAATTTTGCAAAATCTCTAGTCTGATTTTTTTATATAACAGTCTAATTGAGATGTAACTCACCTACCATAAATGCACTTTTTAAAAAGTTAGTGGGCAATAGCATAGCCACAGAATTGAGGGCCTATTTCTACTACTTAGTTCCAGAACATCTCGCTTACCTTGAAAAGAAACCCCATTCCCTTCAGCAGCCTTTCCCATGTACCCTCTACTCCACTTTTTCTGGGACTTTAACATCTGCATGCGTTCTCACAATTAGGATGCAGTTTTCATGTACCACTTATTTATGTTTATTTAAAGAAATTTCTGCGTGCTTTCACAATATTCTCAATATCATAAGTGTAATATTCTTTTTTTTTCTAATAAACGTCAAAATGGATATCACAGTAATTAATGCCACCTGAAATTACATCTTACACTTGTAAGGAACATGTCTTTATAGAATTTGCTCTTTTAAGATTGAATGCCTGAAGCCTAGTGACTAGTGAGTAGTGCAGTGACTAGTACCAGCTTACACAATGATTTGTGACCGGGCCCAGCTTGCCTCACTTCTAACCTGTCCTCATTCCGTTGTTCTTTGCCCACTGACGCAGAGTAGTGATGGAGAATAGAGAGGGGGGGAGCTGAAAGTTCAACCTGTGGAGATGTTGGAGAGAGACATTCCAAACAGGAAAGCTGAGCACATCGGTTTCTAACCTCAGGGTTTCCCACAGAAATGGGTTAAAGGAGGCCCAGTAAGACCCCACTCCTACTTTAACCAGATCTTTTAGCTCTTTTGTATTTTGGGGTCCACCTGTGGTTGGGGGGGCGGGTTGTGTATGTGTGTTTTGTTTTGTTTTTATATTTTATTGATTTGAGAGAGGGAGAGAGAGAGAGAAACATTAATGATGAGAGAGAATCACCAGTTGGCTGCCTCCTGCAGATCCCCTACTGGGGATCGAGCCCGGAACCCAGGCATGCGCCCTTCAGTTCATAGGGCAACGTTCTGTCCATTAAGCCAAACCAGCGAGGGCATGTGTGTGTTTTTTAATATGTTTTTATTGATTTTAGAGAGGAAGGGAGAGGGAGAGAGAGAAATAGAAACATCAGTGATGAGAGAGAATCATTGATGGGCTGCCTCATGCAGGCCCCCTACTGGAGGATCAAGCCCGGAACTTGGGCATGTGCCCCAACCAGGAATGGAACTGTAACCTCCTGGTTCATAAGTCTGCCCTCAACCACTGAGCCGCTGGAGCTGGGCCAGGAAGGGTTTTTTAAGAGCTTACTGTATGGGCAACACCAGTAGTTATTGGGAGACTATAAAAAGGAATAGGACATGGTTCCTGACCTTGAGTTGCTCTCCATTAGGAGAGTCCATTGCAGTTATATAAAATATTATCTATAATTAACTGTAAGGCAAAGTAATGGGATAATATTACTAATTTTCTTTGGTTACTCAACCAGCTTTGGTTCGGAGTGCTTCATAGCGATTCATTTAATTCACTTGGCAGCTTCCTGAAGCAGAATTCTTGTTCCTCCGACTTTATAGAAGGAAATAAATAAAACACAGACTTAGAGGTTAATTAACTAGGTGCTGAAGCAGAGCTTGAATTTGGTTTATGCTCTTCACCCATCCCGCACTGCCTCCCATGGAAGTGAGCAATAGGAAACACTGTGCAGAGGGTGGCAGGGAGGGAGAGTTGGTGTTGGTGAGGCCTAGACACTAGGCAGTTATATGAATGATGGTGATTTCAATAGGAAGGGGTGCTAGGAGGAGGGTCCCCTTTTCTCATTATAGCACACTGAAATTGAGAAATGTCCCAAATTAGAGACCTAGCAGGCAGCCAGAAATGCAATTTTGGAGTCAGTCTAAGTTGTTAGTAATAGTAATAATTACTGAGACTTTTGAGCACATATCATGAGCCAGGCACAAAGCCAATTACTTCTATGGTCTCACTTAAGCCCCTCTGTGCCGCAGAGCTGTTAGTGGTCTACTTCAAAGCTACAGCCTAGGAAGCAGCTTGCCCGGTACAGAAACAGTGGGTGGACTAGCCAGCTCCGGGCCCAGCAGGCCTGGCCGAGCTCATTCTGGGCAGGACTCTGCTCTGCAGCCTCCAAGGAGATGTAGCCTCACAGCACTCATAGTTGAAGCGGATTATGCATCAACTGGGCAGGGGTATTTGCAGCAAGCAGTCTTATTTCTTATCTCTGAATCACAGAGATACGGACAGGACATTAAAGGACTACATTTTCTTCTTTTTGAGTCAACAAATCAACATAGAAAAGTGATATTATCAGCTATCAAAAGCCACATATTGGAGAAGTGTGTGCATGTTTATATTACATGCTAATGTGTAGGGCTGTAGAAGTCTCATAGTTGTTGCATTTGAGCTGTATTTGTGGCCTTCATAAGAAAAATGCTTTTGCATGCCTGATCTCCGAAAATCTTCCCAGTAGCTCTCCAGAGTAGACAGGGCATTTGTTACTATTCCTAAATATAGGCTCTTACTCTCCCCCCCCCCCCCCCCCCACACACACACACACACACTCACACTATTCAAGACTACCCCAAAGTTGGATACAGGGTAAGATGAGTAAAGAATATAGCAAAGAAACCTGGGATTGTATTATAAAAGTTTTCTTTCTAAACAATTACAGAGTTACCAAAGCAGATGCCTTCCACTTCTGTTTAGTTTCCAAGAACTGCCTAAGACTTAAAGAAAGTGAGGAAATCGAAACCAGTTTGGCTCAGTGGATAGAGTGTCTGTCCCAGGTTCGATTCCGGTCAAGGGCATGTACCTTGGCTGTGGGCACATCCCCAGTAGAGGGTGTGCAGGAGGCAGCTGATCGATGTTTCTCTCTCATCAATGTTTCTAACTCTCTATCTCTCCCTTCCTCTCTGTAAAAAATCAGTAAAATATATTAAAATAAAAGAAAAAGAAAAAAAAGTGAGGAAATGGCCTTAGCTGGTTTGGCACAGTGGATAGAATGTTGGCCTGTGGACTGAAGGTTCCTGGGTTCAATTCCAGTCAAGGGCATATGCCTGGGTTGCTGGCTCAATCCCCAGTGGGGGGTGTTCAGGGAGCAGCCAATCAATGATTCTCTGTCACCATTGATGTATCTTTCTCTTTCCCTCTCCCTTTTTCTCTGAAATAAAATATACTTAAAGGAGAGAGGGAGGGAGGGAGGGAGGGAACCACACAAGGAGGGAGCGTCAGGAGTGGGCTGCCCATCACAACCAACGCCCCTCTCGTGCTCTTCCCTCCAGGGCATGGTGGCTGTGTCTGGCAGTTTGTCAGTGCTTCTGGATTCCATCATCTGCGCGCTCGGCCCCCTGGCATGTCTGACCACACAACTACCTGAACTGAATGGCTGTCCCAAACAGGTCTTGGTGAGTTCCCTTTGCCTTCCTTGGAGTTTCAGAGCCAGAACCCTTGGGAGCCAGAGAGGCCCCGTCTTAAAGAGCTCTATCAGGCACAAGCTCCTACGGCAGCGAGCGTAGAGGCTCCCTCCCTCCACGTGGGGGAACGTGATACTGCGTAACTCGCTGAACGCATGCCATGCTCTCCGTGAAACCAAACATGCCATCCCCTAAAACAGTCCTGTGGAGGGAAGATTCTAGCCCTTGAGGTACTGCAACTCCTGTATCTCCTGTTTGTTCCACAGTAAGAAGTACAGGAGTCTTCTGCCTCTTTTGTGCTGGTATCAATGGAGTAGTCAGAAAAAAACCTAGCATAACAGACACTGGATGCCACTTTCATTCTCCCCGTTTTCTCAAACTCGGGGTTTTCTTTCTCACCTGGGTCCCCTGAACAAAGAAACACGTGTCAGGGAGCCAAGGCTTAGAACTCTGCAGTTGAACCTTTCCCCCTTGTTTTGCAGGCGAACACACTAGACAACATCGCTTATATCATGCCTGGACTGTGACAGCAGAGAACCCTGGGACAGAAACCTTGTCCTACCCCACTGCTGGTTTGTGTACATATGACCGTTCCAGATCTCTTCACTGGGTGTAGGTTTTAAATTTTTATATACATACACATAAATATATATATAATGTACAGTATATACATAGGATTGTAACTATTTCGCTTTTAATAATTTTATGAAATGGCAAAGGCTTAGCCAAGAGGAGACCTTGGCATGAAAATGGGCTTGGGATTCCTTTTTCTCCTGTGGTGGACAAATCTGCCTTAAAAATCAATGTTACTTGAGGGCTGGGGCTTGTTCTGGGTGCCAAGTGCATCTCATTATGGACAGCTAAAATGTGATTTTTTTCCCAAGCTCAGTTGTACCTCTAGACCCATCACTGACCATTTGCCTTACCTGTCTTACAGTCTGAAATGTAAGAGGAAAGATTATGGGAAGATGCCAGGTGACCGAAAGTGCTAAAGCCTTTCAACTTGAAGTGTCTTAGGTGGGAGCTGATACAATCGTTCCCATCTGAGAGTCATTGCGATGGCTTAGGTGAACCTAGGAGGGGTTCATTCCAGTTCCTGCGATACAGGTGTCCATGTCTCAGCTTATTGTAATCATTGGCAGCCTCGGTGGGGGCCAAGGAGTTCTATGAGCCCTGGCAGCATACAACGCCTTGAAGAGGGTGACGCTGTCAATGCCACCAGTTGAACTGCATATATTGTGAGGCGACCCAGAATCTTTGTTTGGTCTGCAGAACGAAGAGCTGGTATCTTCCATCTGGCAGCATTCGCTTAGCCACCAGGTCCTCACAGGTTCTGTGTAACTGCTTGGTGGCTGTTGAAGATGAACTTGGCCTAGTGGGATTCTTGGGTTCATCTTATTGGCTCCCCTGGTGGGCATATACACAGTGTTCTGCATTCCACACATAAGTGAGCTGCAAAAAAAAAGTAGTTGATTCTCATGTAGGTTTATTTATGTGCGCGTGTGAATGTGTTTTAATTATGTGTATTTAACTCTTTAAAATCTTAGATTTTAATTTATCCTGTAAATTCCTGTATATATAATTTAATAACACAACCTCCACCAGCAACAGCATGTGGAAGATACAGATTGTTCTTTCTTCCTCCCTTCCTTCCTTTGAAAACTCCAAATCATCCGCATTTGAAGGCATTGTGCCTCAAAAAGGAATCAATATGTCAGGATTCTAGTTCTTTATAATTCAATAATGTGAAGAAAGTGAAATAAAAAGGAATGTTTTCATTCCCAGCTGCCCTTATTTCCAAAGAACCAGACTTTTGCTTCCTAGATCCAAAGAAGACAGCTGAGCGCTTCAGGGTTGTTTTTAAACGTGTGAGCCTCCCTGCCAAAGGCAGCTCGGAGGGAACTCGCTTCCCAAGCTCCACCGAGCTCCACGGCACCCAAGTGGAGGTTTGGGGACAGTGCAGCCAGTCCGCCCCATCCAATACCTCCCCTTGTCCCCGCCAGAGTGGTTGTGAGGCTTTCTTAATGGTGTTCTGGCTGCTGAATGCCTTTCTCAGCTCAGAGCGGTTTTGAGATTTAATTGGGGAGACGGAAAGAAAGGGGAATGTTTGGGAACCAAAATCAGGAACAGAAATCTCGTTTTGATTTCGTGTGTTAGAACCTGTACCATGCCTCATCTGTACCCACGGAAGTTTCCTGTTTGACACAGGTATCAAGGAGGGGCCTTGAAGACATGGCTTAGTCTCGAAAGAAGTCAGTCCTGCCATGGTCATTTGTATACATTCATGCAAACCTGATGAGGACCTGCTTTCTGTTTGTTTTCTTTTCAAATCCAATCCTATTGTATTTGTATTTAAAATTTGTACACATTTGTATAATAACCTGTACCTTGTGGTATTTGGTACTATTAGAGGAAAAACTTTGGATTCAGACCTTCTTGCAATTTTTATATCATTGTTTTATTTTTGTTTTTAAAATAAATCCTGTGGTTTGATCCAAATTCCATTACAGTTGTATAAAGAAATAAAATTTTGTACTTATATTATTAAAAACCACGTTTTTAATATTTATAGTCCAGTCTCAGCTATCTTTTCCATGCTGCCAACCAAAGTAGAAAACCTGTTTTTCACACTATCTCCTACCATAATATTCTTTTTTTTTAATCTATCTGGAATAGAGGTCAAGTGTCTGATCTTAGTCATTTTCCTATCGTCTTGCTCTGTTTCTGTTAACTTTCACATTGTGGGATCTCTCGTGTTTTCTCTTTTACAAACTACAAACCCAGTGACTGAGAAGTATAGCTCTGGTTCATTGACCAATAAAATTGCATGTACATTAGTGTGTACACATAACTCAAGCAAATACCAGTCTTGTGTAAAGTTCACATATGAATCATATGTTTTCAATATATTTCATGCTGTTTCAGTACTGTCTTGACTTAGTGATACTGGATCAGTTACTTAATCTTTATAGATATCCAAAGTCCCATCTGTAAAACAATGTTAATGTCACTTCCCTGTCTCTAAGCCAGAAGCCAGCCAGGCTGACATGAATGTTTGGAAATATTTTGAACATTTAATATACAGAGATTTGACTTTTCAGGGTGTAAAAACTTCAATGCAAACACAAGGTGTTAATAGCCATAAATGATGAAATACTATTGTTAAAAGTCTTAACTTCTTATGGAGTAATTTTCATATCTCTTTTAATCTTCCCACAAGGCTCATGAGTATTATTCCTCTTTACAAGTAAGGAGACATTTGCAGAAAAGTGCTTTTCCTAAGATTATATGCCTATTAAATGGCAGAGCCAGAATAAGCATGCTGGTATAGCCAACCCCAAAGCCTAAGCTCTCTTCTACCCTAAGCCACTTTCAAAAGTAAATTGTGTATGTAATTCATCAGAATCCTTCTTTAATATTATCTATAGTATTTAGCAAATATGGAAATGTAGGAAAACCTCGAGACCTTTCTTTAGGTCTGGAATGAGGAACCTGTTTTGAGAAAAGCATTTTTACAGAAGCAAAATTGAGTAAGTTATCTAAAGTATCTACGAATCACTGAAGCAACAGAAACACGTTATCTGGGGCCATGGGGCAATTTAGAATAATAGTGCTGTCCAGATTCCAGGATCACTTGAGTCAACAGGAATGCACTGTCTATAGCTACTGAGGCAATTTAGGATAATTGAGCTGTCCTGGTCCCCAAAAGAATGTGCTTCGATGACCAGTGAGATCACAATCAATGGGATATTCCAACTATCATCAATGGAGTATTGGGATAGCATCCATAAGTTTAGAAAATCAAAATCACTTTCTATTGTCTTAGCAAACAAATAAGTACAGAACCCAAACAGCAGTTTGTACCTGAGATGATTGCTACCATACTTCAATGTGATCCACTCCCTGTTTAGGGTCACATGATTGTCTCTGCTTTTTTACTATGAAGGATAAACCTTATGGTCGTTTTGTTCTTGGCAGTAAACCAAGATATCAATCACTTTAAACCAGAGTGATGATGTAGGAAGGCAAGAACTTACGGTAAATCACCCCACACAAACTAATGGAAGAATCCAAAGGAAGTTCTGGCTAAATATACTCCATACAACCAAGCAATAATCTTTTTTCATTTTTTATTAAGGTATATGTGTACATATCTTACCAATTCCTATACATGCCCTCCCTCCCCAGAGTTTTGTGTCCATTGGTTATGCTTATACCAAGTAATAATCTTAAATGAAGAAAAATATGAATGGTACCTGACACGAAGTTCATCTAATGTACATCTCCCCTTATAGTCCAAAAACCATTATTGAAAGGTAGATTGACTCAAATGTTCATGTTATTGTGCTGGACAACAGTGGTGAGTAAAGCAGATATAGTATTCCAACCCTTATGAAGCATCTAGACTTATAGGGGGAAAGGCATTTATTTATTAAGTCTCACGTACATTATTAAAACACTTCAAAGCACAGCAATTATGATTTCCATAACGTTTTTATATTGTAAAGAAGTTTGCCCTTAAACTGGTTAACATTTGTTAAACAGGTAAACAAGCAGTAATGATTATAAGTTCACATTAGATTTTCCATCCTAAATTTCTGCAGTCAATTTACTAGCCTTTCAAGTTTGAGAATCACACAAACTTGATTAATAAATACTAAAGTCCCATACTACCAAAACAGTAGTTATTGTCTCTTTTGGGGTCTTTAGAGAGAAAAAAAAAAAACAACCCATTGATCTGGCGTCTAATGTGACATCTGAAACTTGGCCCGGACTGGCAGGTTGAAGAACACAGAATTACAAAGCAGGGAAAGGCCTCTGAGAGCCTTCATTCTCAACTTGGGGTCAACAGCTGTGCTTCCGGGACCCCAAAACTCCCCGAAGTTATACTGGATCTCTGCCTTTTCAGAAAGGCTCGTGGCTTCAAATTCTCAAAAGAGCCTGTGACCTCAAAAAAAGAGAAAAGTTGAGAGTCCTTGAACTAATTCCAACATTCCGAGAATATGGGAAGCTGTTTGAATCACACCGTAAATGAATGGCAGAGATGAATCCCAGGCACCATTCGCGACATCTGCGTGCTCTCTGCTAGCCCGTCCCAGGCTAAATTTATTGAGTTGGCGCTCTGTCAAGGGAGCTCTAACTCCTGGCTCTTGTCTCCTATTTGAGATAAGTGAATCTGGGCTGCACGCACGCCTTGGCTTGCACCTGGGAGACCTCGAACTCCGATAAGAAGAATCCTATTAGGACAGGGAGACAACAGGCCAGAGAGGGTATCTACCCCCTCGGTGGGTGTGCAGTCACCGTGACGTCCCGAGGACTAAGACATTTAAAAAGTGAGCGCTGCCGTCGAGCTGGCTCTGCAACCTTAGCCAAGTCACCGCTCCGGTCTGAGACCCGGTTTTCCAGGTGTGTTACAGGATCGCCAGGCCACGCCCCTAAACCTTGGGGGCGTGGCTTAGAGAGCCCCACGCCCCCGGGCTCCCAGCCGCCCTACGTCGTGCGTGACGTCCGTCGACGGTGAGTGAGCCCCCGTGAGGTCACTGCCCTCCCCCTCGGAGTGCCGACCCTCCTCAGGGGTGGGGCTGTGTCCGATTCCAGACTCGCTCCGCTCCGCCCCCGCGGGCGCCTCCTCGCGGGCCAGCCGGCGCGTCACGTGACGGGTCGGCGGCGCTGGCGGTTGCTGTCAGCTGATATCACGGGTTGGTGGCAGCGGCAGCCGTGGCGATGGACTTTCTCCTGGGGAACCCGTTCAGCTCTCCGGTGGGACAGCGCATCGGTGAGTCCCCGGAGCCTCGCCGGGCCCTGCCGCGAGGCTCCGCGCCCGGCCTGACCCCCTCGGGCGCCCGAGGTCCCCAGCCGCACCCCGGAGGGAGGCCGGGAGGGGAACGAGGCTGGCGCGTCTCTCTCCCAGACCCGGCCCCGCCCCGTCCCCCGCCCCCTGTTGATTGACAAGAACCGTGGCCCATTGGGAAGCCTCGGCTTGTGATGGGTGCCTACAGCAGCCAGTAGGGGGAGAGAGAGGGCGGGTCCTCTCGCGGCTCAGCCAATGGACGGCTGCCGGGGTCGCGAATCCAGGGAGAAAGTTTGAAGGGTTAAAGGGACTACGTGGTTTTGCAGTCGTTGGTTCCTTCGATGCCTCGGCGTCTCTTTCCCCGAACCCTGGTCGCGGCGGCGCCTGGTCTCTGGCCCTCTCTTTCCCGGCTCGCCGGGCCCTCCAGACACAGATACCTGAGAAGAGCCACGAGTCTATTCTCCTGGGATCCGAGACCAGGGCTTGGCGCCCAGGCGGCGACTTGTGGGAGGGGAGAGTGGGGGCGGGGGGCGCTGGGCAGCCCTGCCTCCCCGGCCCCGGCCGGACCAGGCGCCCAGTCCTGGTCACCGAGGCCTCAGGACGTACCCTCCTCGGCAGCCCGCGCCCACCGGCTTCGGTTGGATGTGGTCCTAGGAACCACCTGATGGCGCCTCCCTTATTCCCCAGTAAATGGCACCGCCGGACGGACGCCCGGCCCTGGCACCGCTTACTCAGAGCCCAGGTCTCCTGACTCCTGACTCCCTGTGGACGAGAGACTGACTGGTTCTGTGACGTTATCTCCGTTGCCTAGGTTTCCTCTCCTGTAATTAGGGGATAATAATGGTCCCTGTCTCCGTGGGGTTGTTGTGAAGATGGACTCGTTCATTAGAACCGTGCCTGGCACATGACCAGTGCTCTATAAAAAGAAAGAGGTAATGTTTATTATCATCGTTACTGAAATACCAACAAGTGAGTCTGGGGGCGGGGGAGGGGGTGGGAGGGCAGGGAGGGGAGAGAGCGGTCCCTAGAAGTAGCTGGACAATAGGTCTTACAGGTTATTCCTGCGCGCCCACAGGCCGAGGCCCAAACAGCTGACACTCACCCAGGAACGGCCTGGCTGGGCCTCCTTGCATGAAGAAACCGCAGGCCGTTCAGTGAAATTCTCTCTTCGTCTTTTTGCTGTTTTTAGCCTGATATTCAGACTGGGAAAATTTGATCTTTTAGACAGAACGTTGGATCTTTGCATACGTACTGTCCTGGAAGCCAGACCTTACTTACCCCTGTCGACCAGCTCTGTGTTGTAATCGCCGCTGTGGCTCGGTTAATGGCTCTTCCGAGGTTTTGTAATCAAACCTCTCCAAAAGGGGTGTGGCAGCAGAGGATATGCACACCAGGAAACTCTTGGATCAGGGAAGGGGGCCTGCCCTCTCAGGACCACCGCCTCCACCCCACTCTCCCACACAGCCCCCCCACACATACACACACACCCGAGTCACTGTGTTGGAGCTGAAAAGCAGAGGCAGCTCTCCTTTCATCTCTGTTTCCCAAGTTGGGGCTGCTTTCATCACATGCCAAATCTGAGACTGACTTACTATAAAAAAGAAAATCTGGCCAAGCCAGCCACATTTTCGGAGGCTTTCTAGAAAAGCTCGCCTGGACTCTGGGCCTCAGTGGTCAAAGAAAACAGCTTAGCTTCTCTCCTTACGCTGACCAAGGGTTGCCTCTTTGGGCAACAAATACTCTAGCCAAAGACAGTGCCTCTAAATCATAATGCCTTAAAGCACAAACCAAGTTTTGCTGCTGGAAGGGTTCTTACCCTGCGGCTCTTCTCTCTTAAGAAAACACCGCAGGCGGGGACCCACCCCGAGAGATCTGGGGTAAAGCCCATTATTGGTATTTCTTTTTTTTTTTTTTTTTTTTTTAAATATATTTTATTGATTTTGTACAGAGAGGAAGGGAGAGAGATAGAGAGTTAGAAACATCGATGAGAGAGAGTCATCGATCAGCTGCCTCTTGCACACCCCCTACTGGGGATGTGCCCGCAACCAAGGTACATGCCCTTGACCGGAATCGAACCCGGGTCCCTTAAGTCCCCAAGCCGACGCTCTATCCATTGAGCCAAACCGGTCTCGGCCCATTATTGGTATTTCTAACAAGGTCTCAGGGATGCTAATGAAACTGGGTTGGAAACCATACATTGAAAATCTATTCCAGCCCATTGCCTTCATTTTAAAAAATATGTTTTTATTGATTTCAGAGAGAGGAAGGGAGAGAGAAGAGAGAGAGAGAAACATCAATAAGAGAGAATCATCGATCAGCTGCAAAAATCATCGATTGGCTGCCTCCTACATGCCACCAACAGGGATTCGAACCGTGACCTCCTGGTTCACGGGTCAACCAGGAACCACACTGGCTGGGCCTTCATTTTACACAGGACACTGAGGCCCAGAGAGGGGAAGCTGGAAAGTGTGACTCACCCAGGATCCCAGTGAAATGATAGGAAAGCTGAGATGAACTCTCCACAGCCACTGAGATTTGAACCAAAGCAGAAGAGGCTATAAAAGTAAAATTAAATGAAGAATATCAGCCATCGAGTTAATGCTCTCAGTATTCCATATTTTTTCTTTTAGATAAAGAAGCAGAAGTACCACCGATATCTGTGATTATTGGTGACCTAGAGATTGGTCGCCTTGAGATTATTTTACTCCTGCATGTCTGCGAACTGCAGGAGTAAAATAATCTCAAGGCGACTCTGTCCCTGTTGAGAGTAGAGCCCCGTAGAATTGGCGTCCCCAAGCACGGTGGTTCTAATGATGTTCACCAGGGATCCCATTCACAGAGCTCCGGTGCTGCTCCCTCCACCCGCCCCTCTGTGCCCCCTTCAAACCCCAGGCATCGCCACCTTGCCTCTGAGGTCTTGCCTCGGACCCCTTCAAGTCCAACCATCGCTTTTGTGCTCTCCAAGAAGCACCCCCGCACACGGGCTCCCTCACTGTCTGCCTTTGTGGCTCTGAGCTTCCGCTTCCTCAGTGGAAAGGTGGTTATAGCAGCATCTACCTCTCAGGGTGGGTGTGAGAATGAAGTGAGATATTCCTGGAGAGAGATTGCCGGTGTGCGTGAAGCATAGCTCTTGCTGTCACCAACATCATTTGTGTTATTGCCACCATCATCACACCAACAGGGCACTGCCCCATTCTGTTAGGAGAAAAGGAAGGTAACAGTTTGTGAGCAAACATCACGTGCCACATACCATGCTAGTCTTCTTGGTATGACTTTCACGGTGGCCCTACAAGATATGCCTGCCTATCTTCCCCCTTTTCACCAAAAGCCTAAGGGGAGTGTCACTGCCCACGGCCTCACAGCTCATCAGGGTGGGCGCCCGGACGCAGAGCCCTGCTCCTCTCGCACCCTCATCACGCTGCCTCTTGACTGGCCGCTGCTTGGTTGAAATTAACATCAGTCCCACCCTTCAAGGTCCACAGCTACTGTTCCACCTACAGACCAGCTTTTCTGGCTCTGATGCTCGTTTCCAGTCCCTCTCTCTCATCTGAGAGGAGGAGAGCTCCCAGGAGCCGCAGGCAGTGGCTGGTAGGATCACAGAGAACTAGGACTAGGCAGTGTTGACACAGCTGTCTTCTTTCAAGGATTTCAAAACCTTTTCAAGGTATTCTCGGAAGACACACTCACTGGCCTCCTTTTAGAGACAGATGTGAGAAGGCAACCCACCAATCCATTTTCAATTTCTGCTGTCACCAACGGGCTCATGAAAGCAAGCTACACACCAGCAGTGACTAATTTAAATGTTGGCAACCCTGGGGACCAGCCCCCAGTCACTGGGATAGGGGATGTGATGGGAGGTCTCAGAGCCTAAGGATGAATGAACCCTTGGGTGGATGAGAAAAGGCCAAAGGTCAGGCCGAGCTGCTCTCGGAGCCACAGGAAGGAATTATGGACAAGAGACCACAGATGCTAACTAGGGAGAGAACACCTCGGGCCCTCTGGAATGCCATTTTGGGAATGATGAGCTAAACACCAAACTGGGTGCCCAAGCAGCATTGTTGCGAGCTCACCAGGCTGGGAGGCAGGAACCCTGGGTCCAGCTCCAGCTCTGTTCCCGCCACGTTCCCTCTGCATCACCCACACCCTCGTCTGGAAAGTAGCAGAGCCACCCACCGTTCTCCCTTTGTTCCCCAGGGGATCAGTGAGAAACAACTGAGGGGACAGGTGAGGACAGGGAAGGATTGATCCCAGAGGGAAGAGAGGAACTGATGGCCATTGTGGAGGAACGATAGCACTGATTCCACAAGGCTCAGGGAGTCCGGTGCCAGCGCAGATAGCTGTCCCTGCCACCTTTCAGAGATGGGACTGGCTGCCTTGTCTGGTAGCGAGCTCTCCACCCCGGAGGTGTGAAAGCAGAGGCCAGAGGGAAGGGGGGCTATAAAGAGGAGTCCTGCGTGGACTAGGCCAGTCTGCAGACATTCTGTAAAGCATCAGTAGTACTACTTCCGGTTTTGTGGGCCATTTGGCCTCTGTTGCAACTACCCAACTCTGCCGTTACATTACAGAAGCAGAGGCGGCCGCATCTGTCTATGAATGAGCGTGACTGGTTTGCTTGGACACTGAAATTTGAATTTCATGTAATTTTCACATGATGAAATATTATTCTTTGGATTTTTTCCCAACCATTTAAAGATCATTCTTACATTGATTGGCCCTATAAAAACACTGAATTTGGCACTTGGGCTCCTAGTTTGCAGGCCTCTGGGTCAGACCAGTGGCCAGAGACGGAATGTTGGGAGGACAGTTTCTTCAAAGTGGGGTTCTGGGGCGCCCACATCAGAGATGCTTGAGGTCACTCCAGCTGTGGGCCCCCTGAGTCAGAATCTCTACCCCTTCCCACAGCGTGCCAGGAAGCCCTGAGTCCTTGATCTCTTAAGTTCGGGAGCCATGTTAGAGCCAAAGTCTGTCTTCAGGGTCACAGGGAA